TACTGACCACATGACAAAACAAGAAACAGCCAAGAGGAGAGAGAGGGGAGGAGTTGTCATAGTAACAGACTGATTTGCAAAATGTAAGCAGTCTGCAGCAGTGCAAGGAGACGAAAGAGCATGTCCCCAAAGTGTCATAAATCTGTCTAACCACAGTTGATGCATGAGTTACATTTCTACACTAACCTGCAAGACACCAAAAAGCTAAAACAGAAACTTCTTTTTAGGTAGAAGAAACAGAAGTTTTGCTCAGGATACTCAGTTCTGTAATTGTAAAACTTTTTAAAAAGTTTTATTTCTCTTTGTCTGGCTATCATAATGGGATTATACAAGGCAAAGGGAAAAAAAGAGAATACCAAACCGAGGTGCGCACAGCAGGCTATGGAGCTTAGCCCAGGCTAATTGACTATATCCAAATTAAGTATGCCATCAGTTGCAGTGTGACAAATGGATTTGACTTATTCAGTGTACTAAAATAGAGATCATTAATGCAATCTTCAGTGGCAAGCTTAGTGAAATAAGCCTGCAAACACTGTCCCAGTTCTTTGCTCTTGTCTTTTAAAAGAGAAAGGGGCAGTTTAAAATAATAACAACAACAACAAAACAACAACAATAATAAATAATAATGCTGCCATATAAAAATATCAGTGCATATTAAATATTCCTGGAGTTGTTTCATTTCCCCCCCTAAAAGTGGAAACATTGCTCATGACATCTTTTTGTGCATGCCTTTCAGTACTTTACCATACCATTAGAAATTACCAGGGTGGATGTTGCTTCCCAGCCATTCTGCAAATGTTAGTCAAAATCAAGTTTTTAACAATTAGCTGTGAAAACATTCTCGGTCAGCTTGGGAATGCAACTAGGTTATTATCTCATTGTGGACATTTTTCTAGCTTAGTTAATTTCAATATTGTTTCTTACTTTCTAGGTCAATTAAATTTTAAATGATGTATTTTATGCTTTGTGGCCAATTAAATTAATAGGTTATTACAAAAATCATCCTTTTTTATTAAACAGCTGTGAGTACAGTATATTTTATAACCAATTTTCATTAGTTCAAAAATGTTCCTTTAGGCTAGATTAAGCAGCAGTTCATTGCTAGAGTCTGGAGACCTGATTCTAAGGTGTTCATAGAATTCACAGTGCACTATTACTTAGAACTCAAGCCAATTGAACCTACTTAGCAATAGAGCTATGCCTTTCACCCTTGATGATTATGGAGCTTATAGCTCTCAGAAACAATACATCTGTCAGTTTCCATCAAGTACAGCAATCCATGCAGAAGGCAGAGGCCCACCGAAAGCTGGAGGTTGATTGTCTTAGGCCCATTTTTTTTCTTATTGTTCTTAAAAATCACTGAAAGGTTGACTGAGCTCTGCTTTTTTTCCCTCCAATAAAAACAATCTCAAAGAAGGAATTAATTGATATCGGTTATTGGTTTTTCTGCATTTTAAAACAATGGGTTTGATTTAGAAACCATCCTTTATCATGGTATCAATTTCAGGAAGATAAGGAGCCCATGTACCTCAGCACTCTTTTTTTAAAAAATTCCATTTGTAGCCTAAATAGAAAAGAAACTTGGAATGATGTTTGAAGTTACTTAAACCAGTTATCCTTCCCAGAACACCATATCATTTCTTGCAAAGCATCCTATTTCATTATATTTTACCCACAAGAGATTATGTTTCTAAAAATCAGAGAAAATAAAGGGATTGTATTCAGGAACCGATGTCAAATATTTTCTGTAGCCCACACGTCCATATCAAATATTATGTTCTGTGGGGCACATGCCTGTATCTGACAAATTATTAAAAGACAGTAGCTTCTTTTATTGAAAATGTTTCATAGTATATGACTGAGTTCTTTCCACTCTGCAAAATATTACCTTCCAAATCTTATAGTAATCCTCTTTTGGGAGGGTACTATACACAAATGTTTGCTTTAGTATATGTGTAACTGGGCTGTTTTTCCAATGGCTCAATTCTCTATGCATAGTTTCAATACAAAATCATTAAGAAATGACCTTGATCAGATAAGAAACAGTCCTTGTTTAGCAACCACAGTTGGGACCGGCAACTCGGTTATTAAATGAAGCAGTCACAAGGTGAAATTGCGACTGTACTTACAATCTATTTTCCTTTGCTTCACAGGAAAGTCATAATTGGTGGTAAAGTTATTTTTTCATCACCATCATAACAGTGGCTAAAAGAGGCAGTTGCTAAACAAGGACCACCTGTAAACAGGATTGCCGTATTTCAATCAATCCAAGCTGATATTCACAAGTTTCTCTTTTTTTTCCCCCTCAGGGCTGCAAAGTATGCCAGGGGATTATGTGTCTCGGGGTGGTCCAATGGGCATGACAATGGGACAAGTTATACACCACCCCAGATGCCCCCCCATCCAGCACAGTGGGACAAGTTATACACCACCCCAGATGCCCCCCCATCCAGCAGAGTTGCATCACGGCCCCCCCATGCATCCTTACCTTTCGGGACACCCCCACCACACAGCAATGATGATGCATGGTGGACCACCCCACTCTGGAATGCCGATGTCAGCGACTAGCCCCACCATGCTCAATACAGGAGATCCAGCAATGAGTGGACAAGTGATGGACATTCATGCTCAGTAGCTTAAAGGAATATACTTTTATTTTCATGAATGGCAAATTTGAAATATTGTCGTTCTACAATGACTTAATGGAGTTCCATTCTTGGCATCTAATTTGGACCAAGGAACAATCCGATTGTCTTTATAGGGACCCTGAAAAGCAGGAAAAACACACCAACTGAAGAAGCCAACTTCTGGGGACAAGAAAAATAACTATATAAGGCAACAAGAGTTGAATATTGTAAAATGCTATTATTCTGTTATCCATATTACGTTCTTTCTTATAGATTTTTTAAGAAAAAAAATGTGAATTTTTTTCCACACTATGTGTGTTGTTTCCATAACTCTTCACTTCCTGCAGAAGCCTCCTTACATTAAAAAAAAGCCTTACAGTTATCCTGCAAATGACAAAAAAAAGATTTATTTGCAGGAGTTTTAGAGCATTAAAATATCTATGTCAGGCAGAAGAACATTTCTTCTATCCTAGGATTTCAGCCATGCACTCTGTATTTCTGGTTTTTTTTTCTCTCTCTCTATTTCTCTCTCCCCCCTTCTCTTCCCCACCCTCCCTGCCTGGGGCGTGAATTTGCATGTCTATTTCATTTACTTACCATATTTGAATTGGCCTGAACAGATGTAAATCGGGAAGGATGGGAAAAAGTGCAGTCCTCAACGATGATTAATCAGCTGTTGCAGGCAATGTCTTAAGGAGACTGGTAGGAGGAGGCATGGAAACCAAGAGAAAAGTGTGTTTGACCTTAATTGTCACTTCAGAGCATCATTATCCCCATGAAGCAGCAGCAGCAGCAGCAGCAGCAACCACCTACATCACTTCCTGTTTTATGCCTCTCAAACCATGAACTGAAGAGTTATTTTTACTAAGTTGACTTTATTTTTTTCAGCAAAGCATCAGTCGTGCATTTTTCCATAGTCCCATCATGGAGCATATATGTATACATTGTAAATAAATTTTGTGCAAAAAGGACTGGAAAAATGAACTGTATTATTGCTTTTTTCCCCTCTTTTCTTTCTTTCTTGTTTCTTTCCTTTCCTTTCCTTCTTTCTTTTTGTAAAAGTAGCAGTTTGGTATGAGTTGGCATGCATACAGATTTACTAAGTGGGATAAGCTAATTATACTTTTGTTGTGGTTAAACAAATGCTTGTTGATAGCCTTTTTTCTATCAAGAAACCAAGGAGCTAATTATTATTAATAATCATTGCACATTAAGTCTTAGAGTTTCTGACTGAAACTGTTTGGATTGTACAATAACTCAAAGCCCAGCTGTAGTAGTTCAAGTGCAGTAATGAAACTGAATCTAAAATAAAAGCAAATTATTTTTGTCACGCTGGCTCAACTGCTTGAAGATTTTATTTTTCTGCCCAAGCCCTCTAAAATTGTAGCAATTTGCTATCAACTATTCCAGTCTCACTCTTTCAAAATAATTTTAGCACTAGGCAGCTTTAGTAATATTTTTAAAAGTATTTTATATGGTGAACTTTTCTAGTCCTATTTATTTATTTTCAAATGATTTTCAAATCTTTACTATTAGAGGCTAGTAATTCCAAATTAAAAAAGAACCAACTGCATAAGATTAATGAATGCCGTTACATATTTTTTATTTGAATTAAATTACTCTAGGGTGTAAGTTAAATTTTACTCCTCAATGTTGATTACAAAAAAATAATCACCAGTCCTTATACCTGAATTAGTGCACTTACTTATAGTAAAAGATGTTATACTTTAAAAATCTAACGTTCATAAACAAATGTGGTTGCTGCAAATGATTGTAGTTAGAAATACTGACCAATTTTCCAGCATAGTTATATGTATATTCTGCTCTGTAGCCAACTGGTTAACTAGAACCAAATAACATGCTTAGATTTACAATGCCTTAGTTTTCTTCTAAATAATATTACAGCTATAAAAAGTTTCCTAAGGGCATGGGAAAAAAGGGAAACTTTCACTAAGGCAAACTAATTAAAAAAACCCTATTTTTTTAAAGATTTAATGGTAAACTGCTCGATGGGAACAAAAGACCTCAGTGGTGAGAACTATGATGTCTGCCATTCACACAGATGTCACCCCATAAAACCGCCGTAACAATTCCCTGTTTAGATTTAAAAGGGAGACCAGTTGTTTGGTGGCTACTAGGCAAAGTTTGATAGATTGGTTTATCTATTGTTTGAAGCACTTGGAGAGCATTCTCACTCTATCCAGTTTATATCTCAAATGCTTAAAGGAAAGTTAGTTGATAAGACAGCATCGTTTGCATGTAGGATACACACTCCCCACTGTCCAGAATTTGAACCTAACATTGGACACAAGTCCTGGGATTGAGCCCCACAAATGACAATTCCTATATAAAGCAGTTTCTTTCTGCTCAGAGCCAGACTTGAAGCTTTATTTTATAACCATTAAAAATAAAGAGTCCTTTTATTTGCTATGTTCTCTGTGTCTCTGGAAGGCATGCAGCTTTCAGTATGTGACTTTGCTAGTAATTAATTACTATTTGCTTACTTTCCCTATTGGGGTGGGGATTTTGTTATCTGATGTATCTGTTGAGGCCGAGAATCACAATGCCTTAAGTTGCATTGATGTTGAAACAGCCACTTAGATCGTACAGATATAGTGATTCCTATATATTCCAACAAAGATCCAGTCATTTGCATTAATGGAGGGAGGGGCGTGGCTGTCTAGGAAACAGCCAGCCAATCAGTGATTTAAGAAAATCAAATGTTTAATATAGGTCCTCCTCAGCCTTTCTTTGCTCAAAGAAACTCCTTCCAATTTTATAAATGGTTGGGGAGTTATCTTTCTTATCCCTGTAATTCCAAGAAAAAATAGAAATACATTTGCTGCCAAAGTTAAGTTTTGATAGCCTTCCCCATCTTTTATTTCAAGAGTGGAGCAAAAAAGTGTACATGCTACTATTAAAAGTTCTGGACGGATTGTTTTTTTTCTTTAATAGATTTCCCCCCTTCATTTACAGTTAAAAAATTTTAACTCGAAAAATATAACCCAAGGCAGTCACCTTTGGGGTTACATCCCCACACTCTTAATCAGCTGCAATTATAGCACATTAATGGATAATACTTTCAAAGATTTTTTTTTTTTGGTTATTGTTCGTCACATGATGTTAGACGGCTTTTACAGGCAAAGGAAAGAGAAGTAAACGGGTTACAAATAGGGAATTATCCCTCGTTTAGCATTAAAATTCATTTAGATAAAATTGCCACAAACATTTAAATGGAGAGATTAGTTCCCCCTCACGCCTTATTGCACACTCTCAATGGCTCCGTTAAGAACACTTTATACGTTGGAAATTCCGCCTTCTCAGGCTGCTGGCTGTTTCCTAGTTACCCACATTCAAAGCGAAGGCAGCAGCGACAGAAGACAGGGCTGGGGGAAGGGAGAGAAGTTGGGGTTTCCTGCCCCCCTCTTTATCACACTCCCCCCCCCCCGGTTTTTTTTTTTTGGCAACCAGACTGCAATTCATCCTCTTAGATTTGTTGGAAGTAAAGGGGAAAATAAATAACAGGAGATTATTCTCTCTTTGGACACTCAGTTACCCTATATGGAAAAAAAAAAAAAAAAGAAGGCGCCGCTGTTACTCCTTTTCTGTCTGGTTCTCCTTCGCCGCCGGCTCCCCCTCGCTCCCCCCACTCCCCCAAACTGGGAATCGAAAGTTTTGAGTTGGTTCCGTCCATCGCAAAGCGATCGAGATTAACAGGTCCATATCGGAGTGTGGGCACGGGCTGGAGCTAGCGAGGGCATCGCTTGATAAAAAAAAGTTCTGACTCGCGCCTCTTCGGCCCATTTGCGGCACTCGCGCGGGGCGGAAAGGGGGGCAGGAAGAGATCAAAGGGGGCTGCTGAAGTGGGTTGTTTGCCCTAGAAAATCTCTGGAGGGATTCATTTGAAAACAGATCAGTTGTCTTCCACCTTCTTCCTCCTCCCGTTGCTTCCTTCCTTCCTTCCTTCCTTTTCTTTGCCTCTCTCGCTGCCACCCGCTGCAGAGCCAAAGGAGACGGAACGCCAGCTTCGACTGCCATCTTTTGGGGATTTGGAAAAACGATTCCCTCGCTTTCCTTTTCCCGATATTCCTCTACCTCCGTCCTTCCAAACCTCCGGTCCGAAATAAAGAGATTCCGCTCTAGCTGACGAGAATGAAATTTCGGGGTGGGCATTCTTGCAAGGGATTGGCTTGCAGTTGCGCATGGAAGTCGTTTTAAGTCGCAGGGAAAACTTGGCGTGGGTGTTTCGCTTCCGAAGAGCTCCGCCGGTCCTCGGGGTGTTTCCTACTCGGCCAAGCTCGGAACTATTTCCCTCCCCCTCTCCCCTCCCCCCCAAAACCCACAAGTTTTCTTTTCAAGCAGGGAACACCACCCCACTTTCCCTTCCCTGCGAAAGATTGTCGGACGAGGCCGCATGCGCGGTAGGGCTCCTGGACTGATTTTTTTTTTTTCACTCGGTGCTTGTCGCGGCTGCTGTATATAAATATGAATTGGTGTCGAAAGAAATGAAGAACCGAACCGTCCCCCTGTTGAGGGGAGGGGGAAGGGGTTACTTCAAAAAGAAAGGAAGTGGGCCGGCCACTTTGAGACTCTTGCGGCCGCCTTTGGACATTTCTACCCCCAAGTTTTTAATAGTGCTTTCTTGCAACGTTTCAAGCACGTGTTCCGAGATTGGCGTGGGGACGGTTGATTTGAACCAACACTTTGAAAAGGAACTGTGGGTCAGGCTCAAAATAACACGGACTGGCCGCTCCTCCTCCTCCTCAGCACGGAGAGCAGCACTTAACCAACCGCTCGTCCTCTTTTTTTCTTTTAAAAAAAACTGCTGGCTAGAGAGAAACGCCAGCGAGCGTGCGTGCGTGCGTGGCCTGCCTTGCGCGCGTGCGTGCCTGCGCGCGCGAGGCATCTGGGGATAGGTCGAGCCTGGCGCTTCTGCAATTGCCGCCATCTCTCGCCCTGAGGAAAGGGAGGCTGGCTGGGCGCGTTGTACGCCTGCCGTGCCCTACTCGTTACAAAGCTACCCCCCCCGGGGGGGGGGCTTATACCGAGGAGCGGGAGGGCCCTTAGCTACGGAAGGCTCACTGAGCAGTCCCTGTCGCTGAGCGGGCTCTCTTGTCAGATATAAGAGGCGGAGGTCTCCCGAATCGGGAGTCGGGCGAAGGCGCCCATCCCTCCTGTGTTCTCTTCCCTACCCGCAACTCTGGTCGCCTGAAAAAAACAACCGCCCGAAAGGCAAACCAGTGGCCGGTCCGAAGTGAATTGGGACTCATCTCGGCTTCAGCGTGGTCTCTTTATTTTTCCTTTCACTGTCACGTTTTGACTCTTTCCGCGCACCCCCAAAAACAAGAAACCCGGACGAAGTGTTTAAAAAGGTCCCAGCGAAACTCCTTTCGCTCTGGTCCTCGAAACGCAAAAAAAAAAAAAAAAATGAGGGAAAGAAACAGGCCTCAGGAAAAAGGGAGACCTATCCGTACTCTCTGAGCAGGTCGTCGGCAATACGTGCCTGTTAACGAAAAACGGCCGTCGGGCTGTGGGAAGTCCACCGCCATCCCTACTAACCCGCCACCCCAGTCTGGGTCTGTTGCTATCCGGCCCCCCACTCCGCCCGCAGCCTCCTCAGAGAAAATGCAAGCGCGGGGAGAGCGAGTCCCCCCTCCCCGCTTTTCCACCAACGTCTCCCTCGCCTCCGCTTCTCACTCCGGAGTCCAATCCGGGGCCCACCTGGCCTTGGACTTTAACCTAAAGGGGACAAAGACGTCCTCGCCGCCTTTCCCCTGGGGGCACTTCGGGGACCAGAATCCAGTACAATGAGGCGGGAGGCGTCTCGTCCTATGCAAGTTTCCGCGCGGTGCCTCTGTGTGGCTGTGGTAAGAGAGCCCGAACAAATACTTTTCGGCTCTGCCAGGTCAAACAAACAAACAAACAAACAGGGTCGATGTGGAGACAATTCAAGAGTTGTCGCCTCACGTTTGGTCGCCTCGCCGCTTGCCTCCCGAAAGTCGCGCAACCGCGAGAACGTGTCATGTGCGTGGGCTTAGAGGGATCCCCTTAAAACGCGTGCGGGGAGCTAGGTGGAGTTTTTCCAGCGAAGTGTCAGCTTCCGTCGAAAATCCCTGAAGTATCCCGAAAAACAAAGCGAGTGCTCTCTTCTTCCCTACTGCCCGGTCCCAAATCTCAGACGAAGGGGCGGCGGCGTGGGAGGCGGTTGCCCCTCCATCTCCAGACGGTGGAGACCCTCGAGAGGAACGTTAGGAAAATGCTTTGTGTGTTTGAGAGGAGATGCTGAGATTTTCCCTCTTTCCTCCAAA